AAGGATCCTGAAATATAAATTTCACAGTCAACTTCTGTGAAGCTGACTGACTTGGTAGGGCTGAGAGGTACCACATTCAAGTAAGTGTCTGTTAAAAGACTTCCACTTATCATAAGCTGGCTGCAGATGCTAAGATCAATGCTGACTCAGTCCTCCATGTTCTCATCCATATTCTGTCTTTCTATTCCACTTTCCTCCCCGCCCCCCATCACATCACAGAAGTTGTAAATTGCATTTATCCTTTGCTTATATTGTTTTAAACAATCCCTTCCCCTCCCTGTTTGCTGGAGGTTTCCATCCCCTCGATTACAGTCATACCACAAAGACAATTGAGCAGTAGTGAGAGCTGAGAGGTCAGAAACCTCCCAGAAGAGGTAGGAATGATCAGCTGGGACTGGAAATCTCCTGAAGCAGATTTGTCCTGACCATACAGTTTGGAGGCTTCTGCAACATCAGTTGTCTGCGTGGCCTCTCCTTACCCAAAGGAACATCCAGTAGGTTGAACAACTTGTATGCTCTTCCTTACCTCACTTTTATCCCCAAACCAGTTGCTGTTTAAGCTTATGGTACAAACTTAACAGCCCTACCAGAAGTCCTGCTCCCTTGTCTAATTTCCTACCATCCCCTAGGCCAGAAGCTGCTTGTCCTCCCCAAAGCATGCCAATACTCTTCCTGCACATCGTTTCCCATCCTTTCTACCAAATCCTAAGTTTCTTTTCTTCTCATTCTTGCTTTACAGTTAATCGCGCTAAACCAGATTCCTTATACCAGGTCCTTGGTTTATGCATTGGCCCATTGCACACTCTTTCCTCCCAACCTCATCCCCCCTGCCTCCCACGTCTTCCACTTCCATGGAAAGGCAGGTCTTGCCGCTGCCTGGAATAAGCCTGCAGTCACTTACTGCTTTATCCATTGCTATTTGGTGCAGGGAATTGCACTTGCATGCCAAATACAGAAATACCTCCTCTTGAAAGAATACTCTAATCAGAGGTTGCAAGGTGATTCTTTGTTGATAAGTAAGAAAAGGTAATAACTGATTTTCCAGATTCTGCATCTTTAAGGAAAAGGAACTGTAATGTACAACTTGGTTGGACTCCAGGCACAAAAGGAAATGGGTTATAGCAGTTGTGACTGTGCAGAGCAGATGTTTTGGTTGGACTGGCTATCGACCATCTGACTCATAATAAATTGTCAGTTCCAGTAAATTCCCAGTTTTCAATTACAGTAGGTAGGATACGAGAAAACAATACCATTTGGATGGTGTATTTAAAGCGGTTTTGATGATAATTTTCATAAACAACTCATACTAACTTTGTAAAAAGATTAAGTATCTTGCAAAGGGAGCAGCTGTAAACATTGAAGCATGCATTTGAATGTAAATGTAGATTGATATGAATGAACACTAACAAATGGTTGTTTAGGCAGTGCCGACACAATTAGAAGTAGGATTTTAAGTTTTAGTTTGGAGTCTTGTGATACCTGAAGTCTTTTCCTGAAGTTTTTTGGGAAAAAAAATTTCTAAATGCCTTCAAACTTCCGTTTTCATCTGTTCTGTGCTGCATTTGTATTTTCACGTGGTCTCTTGTTCTTGAGCTTCAAAAATACATACTTAATTAATGAACCTTTCATCTGCACTGGCTAAGTAGACAAAGGGTAAATTAGAATAAAATACCATGAGCTTTTTCTTTATGCTTTTCTTTGTGAAAAGTTTTATTTATTCTTATAAGTTGTTGCTAGAAGGTCTCTGCAATAGAAAAAAGTCTATGGGTTGAAAATCTTTACTTTTTATTTTGTTCCTTTCTCACCACACTGCTTTACTATGTATATTTTGCATTTCCACAGCACTTTGGAGGTTTAGTCAAGGATCAGTCCACATTGTGCATAGTATTCTGTAAACATAGGAAACCGCTTGCAGTTCTTGAGAAAGAAAACTATTTATTTTCAGTGTTAAATGGTGTAACCATTTTTTTTCCTGTTTGATTTGAATGGACATTTTCTGAAATGAGGAAAAGGTTATTTAAAACAAAAACCAAACATGATAGCAAGATGGCAGAAAGACACCATGAAAATCTATGCTGGATCTTTTACATTGCAGTGTGCTAGAGGTTTGGGGTTTTTTTTTACTATCAAGCATAAGACTGTTGTGGAAAAAAATAATAGGTGTGCATTGTCACATGCTTAACTAATGATTTCAACCATTTTTACAAACATTCAGTTTTTAAACCTCAAAATTCCTGTGGCCCAGGATGTGTTCTCTGTTCAGTGGAAGTTCATTTTAATAATACCTTCTGTAGAGTGTTGTGTGGAAAAAGTTCTGTGAGTATAAAATGGTACTTTAATGTGGCAGTTCTAACCTTGGATGCTAATGTTTATGGAAAATTCCCATTCTTAATTTTTACAAAATTAGTTTTTTTCTTAAATATAAAATAAATTTTTAAAATAAAATCCTCTAACATTGTGTTATGAGTTAAATACAAATTATGAGAAGGAACATGGCTACTTAAAAAATGTGTTGTGACTTTAGTTCAACAGCCTCTTTTTTTCCTAAAAGGGAATAATATTGCTAAAGCAATTGGATGTCACTCTCTCTTTTGAAGCCAACTGAAAAATAAAAATAGAGGTGATTTTTGCATTGCTGTTCTGTTTAAATCTGGCCTGTTCTTTGAGAGAAATACGCATGCAGAAATGGGAAAGGGGAAGACACTGCCTGAGCAGAGTTTGATAAGAAGCATTAAAACAACCCTTGCCTTTGGACGCTTTGGTGTAATGGAAGGATCTCGGCCCCTGTTCTGGGGAAATGTCATTGCCTGGTAATACAAGGATCCATCATCTTACCTAGTCACTAACAGGTTTGTAGAGATGACCAGGAGAGAGATCACTGAAGGAGTTAAGTTGTGACTGGCACAGACAACATCAAAAAGGTCTATTAGTTGAAAAGCTTTCCACAGTTTATCTGTAAGAGGTGGTTTTGGTTTAGTTTTATAAACAGCAGTTGTAACAAACATACTAGGGTTGAATGCAGTTCTACCAAGCAGATTCTTGCATAAATAGAAGTAACAAAGTCTGAAAGGAATGAACAGTATGGTGTCAGATAGAAGGGACTTTGTCATAAATCTGTGTAAATCTGCAGCCACCCGAGGAATAAGGTTGAGCAGCTTCATGGTGTACTGCACTGCATCTTTTAAAACCTACAGGAATGCTGGTTTTGGGGGTCTTTTTTAAGTTACAGTTTTCATTTCTCAGGGCCAAAAATATGCATCCATGTGAAAAGTGGTAGTTATAGAAGAAAGCGAATTTCTTTACTCAAATTTGCATTGGACAGTAGCTGTATGAACATAATGCAGTGCTGTGCTGGCCACAGTAGTTGCCGTAGTGTTTGTTGTGTGTTATTTTTGTAAATGAAAAAAAAAAATCACATCTCAGTTTATTGCTCTTACTACACGCATCAGCTTATTGCAGTTTAACATGCAAAGATACCATGATGATTTATGTCGTTGTGTGGTTTGTTTTTTTTTTTTTTACCTGGCATGAGTCTTCATATTAAAGCAGCCACTAGTGAGTGTAGAAAATACAATGTAATATTACTGTATGGGTTAATGGATGCTGTAGTGGTGTTCACCTAATCTGTTTTGGGGTTGTTATTTTTTTTCTTCCTTGTTTTGCTTTTCTTTGATCAGTAAGCACTTGGATGGTATTCTAGAAACTGGTCTTATGTGTGGTGTCAATCTGTGTGTGCACATCAACTTAAGCACTAATACTAAATGCAAGATGAAATATGTTTGGTTTTGTCCATGTAGCTTGTAAAATGCATGTAGGTTCTATTCTGTAAAAAACCAAATTATTTGAAAAGAATTAGAAACAAAAGAACACGGTCTCGGAAGAACTGTATACCTACACTACTGAACGTATTATATGTACTTGTCATCTCTTGAAGAATGCCCATTAAAATAAAACCTTTTAAATCATTAGCATTACTACTTAATCTGTCTTAATAGTTCCTTTTGTTTGATTGACAATTAGCAAATTAATGGGAAAAAGCTAGCTGATGCCATACTCCACTTCACGAGTGAAAGCTGTTCCTTATTTAATTTTTTTCCTTAATGATGGAAACATATTAAATACTGGGGAAAAAGTTGGGGGAAGATTGCCCTCTTGGGTATTTTTTGTTGTTGTTTGTCTTGTTGAAAAAGGTTTTGTAATCTGTGCTGGTGGTTCTACTGTAGACGATAGTCCCACTCAGAAACGTAACGCTGAAGGGAACATTGTGGGTCATGAGATCCTGTCTGTTGCTGTTACAGGCAACCATGCCATATAATCCCATCCATAAACTGATCATACCCCAACAGGACAGCAGCTAGTTTTTGTCCTCACCATTTGTATGGAGTGTTGTCCTGCAACTTCAGGTTAAAACTGTGTTCTGATTTCTAGCCATAGTGTGCTCATGAAGCCATAATGTGCTTGTGACCATTTTATAGGCATTTCCAAGAGTACACTTTTCTTTCAGCTGTCAGAAATGAGCTGCACACCAAGGCAGAATTTGAGAAGAGTCAGCTCTGTCTCAGTTTTCGTTGAAGACAATTAGGCTTTTAAGACCCATTCTTCCCTGCAGTTTATCACTAAGTTTCATGGCATGTTTTGTTCTGCATGTTAATAGCTGGTATGCAGCTAGTCTCTCTGGATGTTGACAGTTTCAGTCCTGCCAAAGCTTCAAATGGCACAAGGCAGTCTTCCTGAAACCACTCAGGAGTCGCTTTTTTTTTTCTCCCCAGATAGGGCAGGGTCTCCTAACAATGTTTAAGTGGTTTGCATGTTCCTTCCTCACAGCTGCTTGTGGGACAGAGCATACCAGGGCAATACCAGGCCTGTTTTTCAATGGTTACGCTTTAGATTCCCCACTTAAGCATCTACTAAATAAATTGGTGTTTGACTTAGTTATCTGTAAGCTTATAAGTATTCAGTTTGTTATTTGCCATTTTATATTTATTATTTTTTACGTACAGGATGTGAATGAAGATCCTGGAGAAGATGTTGCACTTCTCTCCGTTAGTTTTGAGGATGCGGAAGCTACTCAGGTTTTTCCTAAGCTGTACCTCTCCCCACGTATTGAACAGTGAGTGAGACAGGTTTTTTTTCTGGTGTTTTGATTCTACTTCATCTCTGAACTTTACAATTTTTTCCTGATATATGTGAGAAATGTTGGCTAGGTGATAACATGCTATTGCTTTAAATTGCCTACAGTCATAGTGATTACTGCAAGCATGTCTGCGGTAGAGAAATGACAGATCTTCTTTTGGCTAGTTCTGTCTCTATGCCTGGACCTCGTATGAAGAAAAGTCATCACTGGCTACATGTGGTATTCTTGTAGCATCATAATCTATGAAAACTATGCTGTGTTTTCCTGTGGCAGTATATTTTTGAGTGCCTCCTACAGTACAGCATACTGATAGCTTTTTTTGGGGGGCAATCTTTAATTTCTTTTGGGAAGGTAAGTTCACTGCATATACATAACACATTTGAATAAAGTATTGTTGTAGAAGCTAAAGGGCTTTATTAATTGTTTTTTAGGAATTTGCAGCTTTAGTAAGTTACTTTTTTCAGGAGAATATCTGAATATTTCATTTTAAGATTGTTGAGCCGTACTGATCTGTTTACCAGTTGGCAAACAGATTTGCTGAGAAACAAATTTCTGCTCCTAAAATGGAAGGGTGAGGATTAGAAATCAGTCTGCTTTCATGAAATTTCTCTTCTTCCATTTCTGGAATTAAGAATGTCTTAATGCTCCTCCTTCCTTTCAGTATCTCAGTCTTGTAATGTCTGCTTCAAAAAATTAACTACATTAGACTGTTCAGGTATACAACAGTCAAACTGCTCTAGCATTCTTTCAGTGATGCTTTGTTTTTCTGGGTAATACTGCAGTGGCTTTCCTCTGAACTGGTGATGACACTTCTGGGTAGAGAAGAAAGGATGGGAAATACTGACTACCACAGTTTTATAATAACTCAGTGATAAAGTTTGTGTGAGTGAAGGAACATGGTATCTTGACATTTTTCTCAGCAGGGCATTGGTCTGGATAAAGTATTGGATGCAATTAAAAAAACAAAACCCAAGATTTGATTTAGATAAAGGCATAAGGCATCCCAGATATTTTACTTAAGAAAATGTAGGTTGCACATGCACGTGCAAACACACACACAATATTTTTAGCAGCTTTTACATTTTCATATTTTTTATCAATTCACTACTTTTTGTCAACATTAGCTGAGGGAATAATTGTAGTCAAACATGTAATTATCCTTGCATGTTCCAAAGGATTCTTATGCTCAGCTGCTGTTAAAAGCAAATGGGCTGTCATTAGTTTCCATTGTATTTTCAGCTCTAGTCACATGTTGATTAAGTGTATTTCAGGCCACCCAGGTAGTCTGTCTAAATGACTCATGTGCTAAAGAATACATTGGTTATTTTCCCCCTTTCAATAGTATCTTTAGAAAGATGTTAACCTTTTGATACCAAGCATAATAGCAATATGAAGGAACACTTTGTCTTCCTAAAAGTATTGCATTTTCTGTCAGTGCCCTAGAGAATATCTGATTTTAGATGTATGTTGTAGAGCAATATAGCAGAAAGATATTTGAGTGGTGTTAGTACATATCTGACATGTGGCATATTTATGGCTTTGTCATTTATAGCATGTTAAAATCATGCCAGTAAACCCTGGAGTTCCATGCCACACCTTTGTCATGTTATCTCTGTATCGAAGTTGAGATACTTAACTTGTCTAACTCAGTCTGTGCTCATGCATTTGTATGGTATTCATCATAGTATCTAGATACTGGTAATCGATAATACCAGAGTTGTGTGTGAGCTGTTGCACCTTACTTTATTCTACTGGCTACATTTTATGTGCCATGGAAAAATGTATGGGTACATTTTCAGTGTTTGTTTGCGCTTTAATAACAGAGATGTAGTTGTCTCTTGTTCTTTCCCAAAACCAGTCTCTGCTCTGTTTAGCAGGGGCTGACAGTCTAGATATTTAACTTTCCAGTGTTTGGGAACTGAAGCAACAACGCATACTTCTTTATACTTTTTGCCAAAAATACAAAAAGCCTCAAGAAGCCCTGAGGATTAGTTTAATGACTTTGAGGCCATGGCATGTTACATTTGAATTGTGTTCTGCTTATAAAAGTTCTTTCCTGCTGCTAACAGTAATTGCATCTACAAAAACCATGTAAGCAAATCACTAGTGTATTTTTTTAATGCAGCAGATTTTGAGGTGGAGTAAGTACTAGTTGACAGTTCCCAAGTACTCAACAAAACAGGAAAAATACCAAATTCCCACAATTATTTTGCTAATACTAAACTCGGTTCACCTTAGGAAGAACAAGCAAACAGGAACAGCATTTTTCCTGACGTATGAAAAAACATTTTCAGATACAAATGTTACAGCTTTGTAGAGAAATAAGAGCAAAGGGCCTATTTGTGTAATAGGAGTTATCTCCTGCTTTCCCAAGAGGTTTCATTGCTTTTGTGCTCTACCATATAAACATGCATTCCCATATTGCACTTTCTAAAAATGATACATACCCACAGATCTTGTCAGCGAATTTGAGCCCTAGCAATATGAATATAGTGGTTTTGCTTTGAAGGGTTATTGTAAAGCATATTTGCTCTATTTTGAGGTGGATGTAAACGTAATACTAGTAAGACTTTGACTGCTCTTTGTGATAGACTCTGGAAGAGAGATTTGCAAAATGAGGGAAATGTCCACTTCTTATGGTTTGGGGCCAAGACGTTAGTACATTGGTTGGCTTGAAAAAGCTCACGTATTAAAGCAGGGGGTAAAAATGCTGCAGAGAAGTGCAGTGGCTCATTGGAGTCAATATCGGTGTTCCATTGACTTGTGTGGTGTGGTGTCTGGCTGCAAGAGTGTCCAGTCCAGTTCTTAGAGTGAAAAAACAATCCCACCCTTAGGGATGAGGAGCATTTGTGTTAGTTCATAAAAATCTCAGCAATAATTATTCATAATTATACCTGGTTTAATTCTTTCATTAAAATTTGATAATTTAAAAACATTCCCTAAAATACTAATTGTTCAAAACACATTAGCAACAATTTCTAGTTAATGTTTTCTTAATCTGAAATCAATCACTTAAAAAAGCTTTCATTTTATAATTTTAAGAATTGTTCTTATTCTTCACTGATGCACTGCATCAATAAGCAGATAGATGCCAGTAACAGTTGTTTTTAATTATTTCAAAAATTAGATTAAGTTAAAATGAAACGTGGGGTATTTATGATATGTGTTTTGTTTAAAAACTATCATCATAACTGTAGTATCATAAAAACAAGTTTCTGCACACTTCTGGAGGAGGTGATAACCTGGGAAACCCTGTAGACAGACCACCCAACTTGAGAGGATGGTGCTAGTCAGCATCTGTGAGTGTGTGTCCCCGGCTCATCCTTCTCCTCGTGAGATGGGCTGCAGGATGCTTTTCATCCCCCACTGATGGCTGCTGTGCTTTGGGGAGAGGGTCAGAGAGCTGAGCAGTGTCAGTACCTGAGGCCTCTCACTTGCTCATCCACCTGACCATCTCCTGCTGCTAAGTAGGCACAGACATATTCTGAGGCTTCTTCTGCACAATGAGGAGCTGCTGGGATATTTATTTACCCCTTATGTCTCTGCATTTCCATGCATTATTCATAATGTCTCTAAACCTGTCAGTAGAAAGCATCTTGCTTGCTCAAAATTACCTTTCTAGTGAAAGTGTACTAGATACTCATATGGAAAGGAAATTTGTAATAAAAGTATCCATCATATCTTTGGTTTCCATTTATTAAAAGTCACTAGTCTCTAAATCCCAGGAGTCAGTGCGAGATTGAACAGCTAATTTCTATATTAATGCTTAAAATGTGTGTCAGCGTAGTACACATGAATGTGGATCAGAAGTGGGTTTTTAAAAAAGAAAAAAATTAATGTATGTTTGTGGTTTCTTTTTTCTTTCATGAGTTGTTCATGCTAAAGAAAATAAAAATGGGTTTGTCTTGGTTCGCATTTTAAGAAAAAAAGATACAAAGGTAGAAACACTGTTGCTCAGTGAATGCTGTGTTCCCTGGATTCAGGCGAATAATCCTGCAATAAACAGTGTTGTCCTGGAGGGCTTCTTTCTGATAAATATGTGGATGTGAATATGCTAAGAAAACCAGCTGTCAGTAGAACTTGTTTTGCTTAAATGGATCAGGCTCCATGCTTTGGGGACTGAAATGGTCATTTTTTACTGGTCTGGGAGCTGTGCCAGAGGGTTCTTCATGACTGAGGGTGGTATGCAGAGTTCGGTGACTGCATTTAACCTTCCCATACAGACAGGGGAGAGTAACAAGAACCTGGTCTGAACTCTTAGGCTTTGAATGTTTCTGTATGTTTTTCACTGATGGGGAAAAAAAAAAAAAAAGAAGAGAAAATTAAACACATGTATTTGCTCTAAGGTGTTTCTTATCTTTTACCTGTCCTTTCTGTTAGGAGCTGAAGGAGGAAAACTGTAGCATATTATCCATTTACTGCCAGGTACCACCTCTCACTACGTTTGAGATGCAGGGGTGCTGTGAAGGGCTTCACCTTTAAAGTTGGTATGCCATACTGCTGAGTGCACATCACCGGTTGAAGCCTGCTGTTTCAGAATGGTTATGAATACACAGGCTCTAAATGAGTGGTCATGTTTAGGCCTTTTTATATGTTTGTCTTTGTAGAAGACAGAAGTAAGAAGGTCTTCTATTTGGCATATAACAATGTGCTTATTCATCTGAGTTGATGATTTCAGTAGAGAATTGTTAGTAGACAGCCAAGACAGTCCACGACCTCTTCAAATCCCAGAGCATTTTTGCAGACATGGGAAGCAGGAATTACTGTAGCTTTGCAGGGCTTTCTCTTCAATTAAGCCTAGTTTGGTCATGCCTCTACGCAATGCCTGGCCAGTGAGTCAGTGATACCTCCTGCTTGTTGTATGTGCTGTGTCCCCATCATCCAAATCTTCTGAAACTGTAGGCAGTACTGTAACCAGATTTCCAGTCTAGCTCTGCTTTGCAACTCTTCCTGTGTCCTAAAAATCATCTGGTTTT